TCAATCACCCTTCTCTAGCCCTCATGCAAGAAGAAGAAGATAACATAAAATTTCATTCAAATATTCATTAACCTCATACAATGATACATGACCCCTATATATAGGTCATGAGATACAAATAAATAAAAAGCATAACAAATGACTAAATCGCCCTCGGGGCCCCAACATAACTCACTCACACACAAGGGTAAAACAGGAATACTGAAAACTGAAAATGCATGAATAACTAAAAATATAAGCTCTGAATCGTGGCCATCGATCGGCGATGCTTCCGGCGATACACGTGTCTGAACCGTTGATCGATGACCTCATCAAAAAGAATGCAAATTAAATTATAATATATTATTAAAAAAACTAATATTTTTGAAATATTTGGAGATATTTAAATAATATAAAAAAATATTTAAGTTCCATAAATGCAATGTATAACTCAATCATGGTGGAATAAAAAGCAATTCATTTGAGCTATATCAATGATCCAAAGGATAAATATACATTACCAGAACTAGATGTGTCAAAGACATGTGCAGCAAAGTCTGCAGCCAAAAAGAAGAGAAACCTAACCATAAGAACAGGATTTATTGTCCTAATCTGATATACAAGGATTCCCATGAAAAAAACAATTGATGGAAACCAATTGCTGGAATCAGATCTGCATGAAATTTCCAACTCTGACAACCCCATTTTGCCCAATTTCTATGAGCAAAAGTCAGTTCTTCCCATCTCTTAGGTGCAACACTTCAATTTTAGGAAGCTTTGACCATTTAGGTCTTTTTATTGTTTCTTAAAGCTGCTTTCTAGTACAAAAATTAATTTTTTTATACAAGAAAGCCGCTTTAAGAAGCAGTAAGAAAACCGTCCCAAACGAAGCCTTAATCAATTTAAAACAGCCCAAACTGCAAGCGATTGGTCTTACAGAGTCTCTGCGAAGCAGAACTCATCTCCAAGATTACTGGCAATTTTTCCTGGAAATTTCCAACCAGCACCAAATTGTTGCAGTAAACAAAATCCCTCAGCTCCTGAATCCTTAGATCTCTCCACCGTGAACAGATGCAAGATGTTATAATGAGGCTTCCAATGTTTTCACAGCTGCAAAGCTAAGTCCGGATGCTGAGAATCCATAGCCAGACTTGAAGAAGGCTGAATTGGGGATGTTGGGGCTTGGTATCCAATATTCAGATCTGGAGGAAGATTGTCTCTCTGCTTGCTCTGAGTTTGAGGACTGGAAAGTTGCCAAGATGGATGATTCTGATATTTTGATAAATCTGTCGGAATCAACTGTGGGAAAATAACTAGGCCTCTATTTTTAACTTGCGAGGCCTCTACCTGTAAGGGCAAATTTGCAGGTCGTACTATAGAATATCCATTAAACTGAGAAGCAGAAACAGGGGGTTTCCAAGTAGGAGAGTTGCAGAAAGGAGAAGAAATGCTTGGCTTTTCTAAAGTGTTTTTACTATCAACTGATTTCCACTGGCCAGAGGTTCCAACTGACATCCATGCTTTTGCAGCTGCAGATGTTGCTGGACTAAAATTCTCCTTGGTAAGTGGTGGAACTATTGTCGTGGATTGTTCTACATGACTAGTGCCACTAGTGACAAAGTTCTGTTGGTTGCTAACCTTCCCCGGAAAACTGGCCAACTTGAAGGGATAATTAGAAACCTGATCATGATTATTAGCACGACCAACACCATAGTTTACTCCAGTTTGATTGCTTGAGATGAAAGCCAAACAATTATTTGAACCTCTTATACCAATTTCTGGAGCAGTATTGAGATTCTGTGATGATACTGCTTGGAATACTTTATGGGTTTCAGTCTGCATATGGCTGTTCTCCCTAGAAAAACTTCCAGGAAAGCTAGTATGTGCTGCTTTATTGGAGGGATTGCCCGTAGACCCCGAAAGGGCTTGTGGCAAAGCATTTGTGAAAGCCTTGGGAAAATCTGCTGTGGTTTGATTTTTCAGCTGATGAGAATTCATTTGGTCATTGGTGCGAATCACTTCTTGCTTCCTCTCTGCAATATCGTCGCACGGGGTTTCCTCCTTTACACGAACAGAAGCTATAGATAAGCTTCTGTTATTCATCATCTGACTATTGACACCAATGTTTATGTTACTGGAATCACTGCACTGTTTCAGCCCAACTGTGCCATTGATTTTGGATTTTGCTGTGCCATCAACACCAAGAAACCTCGGCTTTTGATCTCCTGAATTCTCACAGGAGATAATCTTACCAGAATTAGGTGCTTTTCTGGGGGCTTTAGAGGTCATTCGTTTCTTGACAAGTAACTCTATGTTATCAGAACTGGGAGTCTGTCCATTCTTTGATTTCATTTCAGCAACCTTATCATTTGTGGCTGTCCTTGAAAATGAGGTTGATTTGTTAGTAAGCTGCGGATTGCAGTTTCCAACAGAAAGAAAAGGAGTGGGAAGTGGCTCATATTCTCCAACCCATCCTGGCCCAAATTTTATCCCAGGAGGTAAGGCTTTTTCAATCTTTTTGGACACTATTTCCCAGGCCACAGGCCCAAGAGAAGCAGTAAACCGTGCAAGGCTCCTAGCATAAGAATGCTCAGAATCAAGTCCAACCTAGTAGACAAAGGCAGCAATTAGATGACACTGGTGACCTAACAGAACCAGGTAAAAACAAGTTATTAGTGAAGTCACCTACAGGAACCAGCTGTTTTTGCTCATCGTCGAAGAGATCGAGCACAAAATCAGACTCGACCATAGATTTTTGCTGTAGACTTGTGCTATAAGTTGCCCGTCGATTTTCATCGATAGGTGCTGGTTTTCGACCGATCTTGGAGGGGGAGCACTTAGCTGCAACAAGAACAAATGTAAGGTGGCAACATCATGAGAACTAATATCAAGGATTTAAGGAACGCATCATATATATAGCTAAGGAAAGTTTTAAATCTACCAGAAATATGGCATGCATTGCTTTAGGTTAAATCTCTGAGAACCTTTCCCCACTGTCCTAGTACAGAACAGTATCAGCCATCTCCCCAATCCTGTTAACAGAACTGTATATCATTTCTTAGTAAGTAATTCCCCCCTCTCACCTACTCCAGTGGTCGGGGGAAAGACATCAGGAGCATAAGGAGATGGCTGAAACAGTTAAGGACTATAAATGAAAAGAGTGGTAAGATAATTTTTTTTTTTTTTTAACAAAGCAGCTGTCACATAACTGATAATTCATAAGATATTAGTTATATTTGTTTTAGATGCAATATTATGCAACTTAGCTTCCAAAAATATGTAGAGCATGAAAAACATGAGAACGACCATAAAAATTCTAATCAAACTGCAAAGGATTTGAAAATAAGGATATTGACCTAATACCAAGTTTCCAAAGCTTTGCTGCCAAGCATCATAATCAGTTTATGGCCTAAGGCTTCGTTTGGGACGGCTTTCTTTATGCTTCTTAAAGCAGCTTTCTAGTATAAAATTTTTAATTTTTGTACTAGAAAGCTATTTTATGAAGCAGTGAGAAAACCGTACCAAATGAAGCCTAAGTAATGGATCTAGAAAGTTGGATGGCATGGTATAGTATAACTTTTAGTAATCCTCAGGCAGAAAGAATTTAGTTCTCTGACGTTAGGTAAGCATAGTATCATACCTGAAAAGTCATCTCCTTTATCTTGTTTGCTCTCCCCAAGAGAAGAACTAGCATCTATAAGTTCATTAACAGTGGCAGCCTTCTCTTGCTTGCTCTCCCTCAGAGTAGAACTAGCATCTACAAGACCATGAACAGCAACAGGCTTCTCTTGTTCGCTCACCCTCAGAGAAGAACTAGCATCTAGAAGTCCATTTACAGCAACGGACTTCTCTTGTTTGCTCTCCTCCAGAGAAGAACTAGCATCTAGAAGTCCATTAACAGCACCGCACTTCTCTTGTTTGCTCCCCTCCAGCGAAGAACTAGCATCCAGAAGTTCATTAACAGCGACAAACTTCTCGACGCCATTCACTGTGCTCAAGCCAGTAGAGGTATCGCCGGCAGAGGCAAGAGTGGCACCAGAGGAGATATCAGATACAATAGGCTCCACCACAGCCTTGTGCTGGATCTTGTCACTGCGCAAGGTCCGTGTAATCTTTTTTTCCATGGGAGTTAAACTGGCTTTCTCTTTGGACCTGTGCTCAGTTTGTTCAATTTCTTTGTGTTTTACATTCTCTCTAACACACTGAAACTTTTTCCTTGCCAGGTCTTGTATAGCACATGCCTTTGTTCAAAATAATGAAAAAAAAAATAGATGTTAAGTGTGAAGTCTTGAATTTCATACAACAAAGGGAAACTTCTTAAGAAAACGCTCATACTTGTCTGAAGTAAACGGTGTCTGGTGCATTATATTGCATTGCATTGCTGCAAATTAGCAAAACATCATCCTGCATGCAAGAGAATGAAGTTTATAAACTATATAAAATATGAGAAATTTCAATAGATCTATTTAAAACAGTTGTTACATTCCTTAAGAAAATAATATAGGTTGATTACCTTAAACTGCTCTTCAAAACAGTTGTTACATTCCTAAACATTTAATTGAAATGGAAAGCATACCGTTAAACAGAGCTGACAACTCAAAAGGAAAACCAAACTCTTCCATTGATCTTGAAGGAGAAAATTGCTTACTTTTTATGAATAAATTATATATATTTAATGAAAAAGGTTAGTTGTTCCATTTTTTGCAAGAAGTTTTAGCGAATAGTAAAAACAGTGGCCTTAAAAATCCTTAAGAAAAAGAAGATTTTAAGAAATGAAAGGGAATGGCTAGCTTTTGTGCTTGCTGGTCGCTACTAAGCACAATTGGCACATTTAAGTAGTTCATTCAAGCAATTTGCAATTTCAAATCCACTATGACCTCACAAATTTATTTATAACAATCAGTTGAAGCAGATCCCATCATCAACAGCCATCACAATCATCATTATTTTCATCATCATCATCGTTAAGATAATTGAAAACGTGACATCTTTATAAGGGCAGAATGACATCATTGAAGCAATTTGCAAATTCAAATCTGCTATGACCTCACTACTTTTGTGCTTGCTGGTCGCAGAAAGTGTTCAATAAGGAGATTTCAGTGCTTATATTAAGGTTTCATTTGGGGTGACTTTCTTACTGTTTTTTAAAGCAGTTTTTTAGTTAAAAAATTAAAATTTTATATTAAAAAGTTGTGTTAAGAAGCAGTAAGAAAGTCATCTCAAACAAAGTGTTGGTCACAGTATTTTATTGAAAATAATATAAGGGCAGAAAGACTGATGAAAATATCATAGAAGGAACAATAAATAAATAAAACATATATTTCAAAGCATTACTATACAAATAATTTTAACAGTAAAAATATAGACTTTTAATTCTTGATATAACTATTTCAATACAACAAAGGCTAAAAAAGACATTTTCACAAGCACGCCCAAATAACCCGGGTGTAGTCATTAACTAAAAAACTAAAAAAAAGAAAACCCAGATAATTCGATAAAAGTTATGGAACCTAGATACCAGAATATACCAAGTCCAATGGAACACTACTACTAGAGGATATTAACACGGAAAAAAGAGCACAATGCTATTTATCATACTCAAAGGCATCATATTCAAACTTTTAAACATGTGAGGGATTAACAATGAAGCTCTGAAGATTATTAGGTAGAATGTGATCAAGATGATAATACCATTGGCAAGGTGAAATAATAAAAGATCAATGAAGTAATAAATTCCTCCAACTTCACTACTGCCACCAATCGTGTTCTTTGTGCCAAGATCATAAACAAAATGAGAAGGAGAAAAAAGCACCAATTAATTATGGAATATGTTAAGATAGTTTATGGATAACAATAAGGCAAGCAGTGCTTTATGGCGTAAAATATTGGCCATTAAAATTTCATCAAACGTCGTCGAAGGAGGAATGAAAGCCACTGGAAGGCGGAAGCATTGTTAGGGCTCGCGGGCAGAACGACTTAATCACTTGTACAGTTATACGTTTGGCGAAGATGGTCAAAACCGAGTCCAAATTGGGTTTCTGGATTGACCCGAACCCAACCCATAATTCAAAATGGCTCTAAAATCGAGACCCGAATTCAACCCGTTCTTAAATCAGTTTGACCCTAACCCGAAAAATTTGGGTCAGGTTTGAATCAAGTTTTAGTGTCGTGCCAATTTTTGACACCCCTACATATTATTAAAGGAAAAAAATATGATAAAAATATCACAAAAATTGCTAGATTGATGGATTTAAATCATTTAAACATTTAGCTTCATTAAACACCTAAATAATATCAAATGAATTATACTAATTTAAATTCAAATATATGAATCCGATTATGACTAATAATTAGGCTATATCTTTAAAAAATTAACATCAAACATATAATCAATTAAAGCACAATTATGACCCGAACTGGATAAGAACACTAATAAATAAGCTTGAATAAAAGTTTTAAAACTTAGATCATGTTCAAGCTCAACTAGATCTCGACAAGTAAATAAATGAATGAGCTTTAAACAAAGTGGTACTTAGCTTGACTCAATCATTTGCAACCATAATTGTGTGTTATAATAAACAATCATAGAGAGAAATAATTCTAAAATACGAACTAATAAAATCGATGATCAAAGTGTTCACATGTTGAGTAGTTGAAGGATAACCAATTTTTTCCAACTGTGATCATATGAGTGATTAATTCTCCAAATGCATTGACAAGGAGAAAAGGAGTAGAAACCACCATCACATTCACCCTATGATGCATAGACACGGACTCTGACACGACACAATCACAGGACACATCAATTATTAAAAACATGGGACGCAGTTACGGGTTGGACACGGTATTATAATTTTTTATATCTTAAAAATAATTTATAAAAATTAAGTAGAATATTAAGAATCATTGAGAAATAATAAATCATTTAATATGGATTTGTGTTTGAAATAATTAATATTAGGATGTTGAGATGATGTTGGTCAAAGATGAGATGCCAAAACGATGTAGTGGTGTGATTGTGGGGGTAGAAATTACTAGCATGAAACTTTGATTTTCAGATGATTTTGAAACATTAATGTTGTAACGGAGTCGGACATCGATGTTGTGATAAAATCGGGCATTATTGTGAAACCCTAACTGCGATCTGCATATAGAAATGAAAATGGTATGTTCGGACCAAGGTTTAAAATTGCGTAAATAAGCCTCGAGGCGTTTTTCATCCGTGAGGTGAGGCGTAAGCCACGAGGCGGTGTGAGGCGTAAGCCTACGCCTCACAAACGAAGAATTACGTAAATGAGAATTTAAGGGTGTTTTAGCAGGTAAATAATAATAAAAGACTATCATATAATAAAAACATCTAAATGACAAGTGAAATTACTGGAAAACAATAAAATAGATGCATTATATGCATCGCATAGTATAATTCAAAGTACAAAACAACAAAATATAAGTCTATCAAAGCTCCCAAAGTACAAATAAGAAATAACATATAAAATCCAATCATGTCCCATCACTAATTTCTTTATGAACGGAGAGGCGGCAGAATGGGAACCGAGCAGAGCCTGGGCTTGCAAGAGGATTTTCGTTCGGTTCAGTATAGCCGAATGCAAGAATAGAAGAAATAAGTCATTTTAAGAAGGTGGGACCCGGTTTCAAGAGGCGTGCACCTCACATGCAATTGCGCAATAGCGCCTTAGAGGTACGCCTCACCTGGAACAAAAATTTCTTAGGCAATGAGGCTCTTGGGGGCTAAATTGTGCAAAGGTGCGCCTTGAGGAGCGCCTCTAATTGCGTAATTTTAAACTATGGTTCAGACAATGGGGTATTAAGTAAGGGCAATTGATTTGGGGTTCTTGAGATGAAATAAAAAATTAAGTTTTATTTTTTAATAAATAAAAATTTTAAAAATAAGATATTATATTAAAAAATTTGCATAAAAATATTTAAGACAAGCATATCTAATTTATTTTTCATATTTTTTTAGTTGGACGTGTCTTTGGCATGTCCGATACATATCGAAGGCTTGGTGAATGTGTCGTATCTGATAGGTGTTAGACATTGCATATCTCATTGAGGAGAAGTATTGATGCATAATAGCACACCCCTAAGACCACCACGACCACTATTACCCCAAACATTTCTTGTGCTAGCAGAAAGAGCATTCTATTCATGATTAAAAAAGACAGAGCATCGAGCTAAGTGACTAGAAGAATAGAGAGAAATGTGGAGTTATTTAGATCAATAAAGTCGGTTATTAACTAAACTTGAACATTCTGAGAGATGGATGGAAAATAAAGAGAAACTTGACAACAGGAATACCTCCTTTATCATAAAAGGTATCATAGCAATCCTGAACAAATTGGTCAACATGTTGTAAAAGAATATATTTGTGTAAAGAGTGTATACATGAGTCATGTTATTGATGTGAAAGTATGTGAAACAAAGAAAATCAAATATGCTTTTAGTTGTCTCCTAAACATGACAATAGAACAAATTGTTGGTTTGAGGTTATTAAGCATCCATGTGATAACCGCTTATTATCATTTTGTATATTTGGAGGTGTTCGTTAGTTCTAATGCCAAAAAAATCCAAATGATGAAGCTTCTTGAGAGAGTTAACAAGGAAACAAAAATATCAATATCATAAAGAATAGTTGATGTTATTTAGTTTGTTAGTGATAGCTACATAGGAGAGTTTCATTTCATAGATAATTGAGGCAGCATTAGCAAACACTACAAATAAAATAGGACTACATGAATTAATATAATCATAGATCAAATATTCATGATCGGATGAGGTTACAAAGAAGCAATCATCACAAGTGATCATTTAGCAAACACATGTGCAAGGGCAAATACACAATCAACAAGAGGCTAGGGGGTGTCAATTTCAAGTCACAGGTCGGGTTCAGGATGAACCCGAAATTGACCCGGCACTATTTGGGTCAACCCGAACCCGACTCATTTTTGCAAACGGTCAGTTTTTCAGACACGAACACGGCCCACTTCGGGCCCGGGTCAACCCAACACAAACCAAATGACCCGGACAGTGAAAAAATTGCTAGTTTTCGGGTCAAAAAATGGGTCAATCTCCGCTTTTCAAGTTGAAAACATGTCACTCTCGGGTTTCCGGGTCAAAAACGATTTTCAGATCAAAACGGGTCAATTTAGGCTCAAAGGGTCAACTTGATTTTTGAAACGGATCGAATTGTTGAACCTGAACCCAACCCGTTTCGGGTCCGGGTTGACCCTAACCCGGAATTTTCGGGTCAGGTTCGAGTCAGGTTTTTCGGATCGTGTCAAATATTGACACCCCTACATAAGACGCGCACAAGTGAGGAAGTTATCAGAGGAAGGAATGGTTGCACCAAGCATGAGATCGAGAAAAACAAAAAGCTGCAAGTA